TGACTAGCCTTGTTACTTTTCAATTAATGGCATAGTTCCATAAACATCGAGAACTTCATGAGAACTTAAGTCATATTGTTGTTTATTACTTTAAAACTAGATTCTAGAACCTAACGGGTAACCGGAGCTCCGGCTCGACGTGCAGGAGAAGGAACGGGGTGGTTTTCAGTCAGTAAGAGTCTGACACTCCCTCCCGCCTCACCCAGACGGGAGTAGTCATTCGATGATTTTCCCCCCTGAAAAAAAAAGCCCATATGTCCCTAGTCTCCACGAACTACATTATAGACCTTATTTCCAATGTTTAGGGGACGGTTTTCAACGGGCTAGCTTTGTAGTTTTGTTTTCGCTTACCAAATCACCCCCGCACTTTGTACTACATCATCTCATCTAGGTACGTACTTTCGCAACAACTATAACTTTGATTTAATCAGTAACTGATACACTTGCACTAATCAAAATGGGGACCACAGTCGCTGCTATTTAATTTTGTCTAGTCTGTCATCCTCGCACAATATTTTATTTAGGGCACACTTTTTATAATCGTGAAATTAACTTCGTGACGCGTGCGCATATACTGGCAACAGCTCAACCGGGGCAAGCCGACTGAAGTTAAGGGTGCACTGTTAATAAGAACTACCTACCATAGCAGCTATATAAATTTAAAAAAATACATAAACAATAAACATCAACACAATCAAAACCACCTTGTACAGTCTCTTTTTGTGCCTTTAGACTTAATTCATTCGGTCTCCTGCAGTAATTGACACACCGAGGGAAGTGGAAACTATCGTTTTTTTGTCTTCTCCTCTTATAATATCTTCTGATTAACTTCGTTGCGGGAACCAAGACAGTTACTCATGTCCCCGGGACGCGCTGGACTTCAGTGTTCCGGTGTTTTCATGGTTGTATCTACTGTAGATCCTGGCTTACAGGAGATGCAGCGGTTTTGGAAGGTTACGGCTTGTCCCAATAAAAAAAAGACATCAAAATCTGTATAACACTAAAAATATAAAGTTGAAGAATTTGTTTGTTTGAACGCGGTAAGCGTTGCAACTACTGGTTCAAATAAAACAATTATTTTAGTATTGGATAGATAGAAGGCTATAAAAGATCACGCTAAGAACTATAGGAGTTAAACAGCGGGGAAAACCACATGGTAGGTAGTAAAACATAAAAATAATTTTAAATCATTTATTCTGTTTTCTCTTTGTCAATTTGTTACAGTCATTTTGTTAGGATGCTAGCCTATTTCGTTGAACACTGGACATTTTGTTCATAGGAATCCATCAATTCATGTGCAGCCGTCTAAAACTCTCACACAAACTATTTAGGTAATATCAATCCATATTTCGAAACTGCACACCATTAACAACGTAACTAACTTAATTATTTCATTTTAAATACATTACACATTCCCCGATTTTGTAAAACTATCGGAACTAACAACAACCATTCGATTTAAATACTAATTGTCCGTTTCAATACAAGTTTACTAACAAGAAAATAAACACATTACGGCACTTAATGCCACTGTACAATGTAACACCCACTTTCCACTATTTTATGTTATGAGTCCTATGTAATAGGGGGTGAGCATAATGCCAAATACCGAGCACAATTCCAGACTCCGTGCTACTAACGAGATTAAAAAAAACAGTTATACTTTGCCCGACCCGGGAATCGAACCCAAATCGAAAGGGGTGTCCCCTTGCCCGGCAGTCGCACTTGCGTTTTCTGATAACCAATTTGATAGCTATTAATTTAATTTTAATAAAACTTTGTACATTTGCATGTATTTACTGCATTGCATTAAAACAATATTTTATAAACTTGGTCAGATTTCTTGCATAATAATTGTCGAACTTTCTTGAGGGCAAAAGCGTCAAGACAGGTGACATTGTTCAAAGGAAGACAAAATAGACTACATTTGAAAATAAATATATATTATATAGTCCTCCTTACCGATTTCGGTAACGGCGACCCTTAATATATCTATCTCCTGCCGTGTGCCCTGATGTGACACTGGCTAGCTGATTTGAAAATACAGAAGATATAAAAGGTATAAAATCCCTTCAAATATTTAATAGTAATTAGATTTAAAATGTGTTTATAACTAGCTGACCCCAGCAAACTTCGTACCACCTCAAACATGTTTCAAATTATACCTGGACTTCTACAAATAATTCAAGAACAAAATTAGTCAAATCGGTCCAGCCGTTTACGAGTTTTAGGGAGACTAACGAACAGCAATTCATTTATATATATAGTTTTAGATAAAATACTTATAACTGCATACCAATTAAAAATACACGAGTAGTTTAAAATGCATTACAATAACCAGCAGCTGTAACCAAATGCCATTTAGCGCTTGTCTACATGTAGAATAGAAAACCAAATTATATGTAATTAACGTAAATGACACTTGTCAGTGTCATCCCCATACATTTTGATTTTTACTCGCTCTGTAGACAAGCACTAAATGGCATTTGGCTACAGCTGCAGACTTGTTCATACAAAAGTTGTCTCTATACATCGGACATAAGGTCTGTTATAGAGTGGGTGAAAGAGAACACCGGTGTCTTGATTTGAGAAATTGAGATTATTTTCGAGATTGAAGCTTCTATTGAAACGGACTTATGTGGCCTAATACCGAAACGTCACTCAACTTCAAGATTACAATTATCTGAACAATTACTGATGTGTGAAAGATACTTGAATATTTGAAATAGAGTAACATCTCAGTATATGCGCAAGAGTCGAGATAAATGAACATTGTTATATTTTTAACTAAGTAACCCCATCTCTGTCTTGCAAAAGACATCCTTAATAATATTTTAAATCGGAAAGTGAGTTTGTTTGTTTGTTCCGCTTTCAAGCCGTAAATACTAAACCGATTGCTTTGAATTTTTGCAGACATAAAGTTAGAAGTCTGGATTAAATTAAATAATAGGGTACTTTTTATCTCGGAAAAATTTATTAAATTTAATTAAATGATTGGTATAGATGGCGCTGTGTGTATTGGTATATGTCACATAGGCTACTTTTATCCTTTTGTGACGCGAGCGAAGCCGCGGGTAAAAGCTAGTCTGTATATAAAAGACAGAGATGAGAATATCAGAAACAATGCATATTCATCTCGCTAAATAAAATTCAGCTTTAAATATATAATATTCAATAATTATTTACGTTAAAATGGACTATTTACATTTTTACTAAATAACATAGTGGTCAAAGTTAAACTTTGCAATAATACTTTAACTAAAAGCGTTATTTTGTACATTAACTGTTAATTAGTTTGGCAATGATCAACTGGCTTGTACATGTTGATGGAAAAACGGCCTTATTATGTACAGGATAGGGACTATATTGCTATACACATGCGTTTGACTACAATAGTAGTTTCAAGATGTACCAGTCGATTGATCATTATAATAATTGCACTAGAGGTGGGTACTTTGTTGTGAGCTGTGAGCGTTGATACGCGTTTTCTATGGCTTCTGAAACAAGGATAAGTAAAATATCATAAATTTACATAGCAGAAACTGAAATATTGACTCATTCTCATAATATCTTATTAACTTGGGGAGAGCCATGCTTCGGCAGGAATGGATTGGCTCGACTGGAGTAAAACCGACGTATACATAGGAAACCAACGTGAAACAACAATTGCGTTGTTTGACTGTTTTAGTGATGTTACCGGAGGCCCAATGCCCACCTTCTCGCTGGAGGAAGCCAGCAACACATTTGTTATTCCTCTGGTATCGCGGGTCGGCCGATGCCGAATGTTCACATTCATAATCAAGTGATATATCTTTACGTTTGCTGCGCTTAAAATTCGTCAGAAAAGTTATAATACAAAAACATGTGTTTTCTTTGTTGAACTGTTGTACTGACTAACCTGGTAACACAAACAGGGCATGTGGAGTGGATGCTAGCAGACAGACAGCCTACGTGGCGTGGCGCTAGGGCGGCGGCGCCAGCGGCACGAGGAGCGGCTCCCGGGCGCGGCGCGGCCGCCGCGTGCTGGCGCGCGG